TTGTCATAAAATTAGTTAAACCTTGTCTTCGTGTATGCTTGCATATGGCTCGTATACATGTACTACTCACGAGCTAGGTTAGATGTTAATATCCCAAACCGGACTCCAGGTTAACCAAGGCTGCTTTTTTTTCAATGCCACTTTTTGCTCGCTCTTCATCTCCCTTCATTCCAATATTCAGAGTTAGTCCTTGTCCTCTCTCTATCTGATGTCTTGTATTAATCATATGTTTAGACACTTCTGATTGGTGGACCAATAAACCTTTGTTGGCTGTTTTGTTCATCTGAAGTTTGAACGGTGCCAAATTATATGATAGCCAACGGAATAATTCAGATCTAAAATAAGACACTTGTAGGAGCATAATGGTTCAATCGGTATAAATAACAGTTAATTAGCTCTTACGAATTCTAACATAATCGATATTCACAAAATGAAACGAGGGACATACTTTGCAAAATAGCTAAATATCGTTTTTTTAATTGGAAAATCATTAGGTGACTGAAAGCGAATGAAAATCAAATCAATAACCACTTATACACATAAAGAAGACCAACCTAAGAGAGAGGTTGGAGCCGATTCTAGAGTCAGGCTCTAGAGAAGAGTTGCGCCGGCCTAGAAGATAGTAGGTGGCGGTTATGTCATCAAAGGCACCCTGACGGAGGCTAGTGACGATTTCTTCACGAGAGAAGCCCATATTTACCATGATTTCTATTCTAACTGGGTCATTGAGATCCGCTTCTGGCTCAACAAATGGTGTAAGAGGGTTGTCTTCGTATCCGTTATTCATCCATTTGTCCTTCATCGCCATCTAGATAGATAGGAAGGGGTTACCAACATAATCGAAAAGAAGCTCTAGTTATAAACAATAAACCAAATTGACATTTATATTTATTAATGCCATTAAATATAATTGAGGAAAACAAATCGTGAGGATATTGAAGTGTAATTAAGGATGAATTAAACAAGGAATATAAACAATACTAACTTGGACTATCTTGTGTAAACTAAGTTGTGAAAAAATTGCCTGACAAGAGTCAGCTCGATTCTGCGAATGACTATGCATCATAATATTGAAATTTATGATTTATTTTTTCTACCTAAAGACAAATTTCTTGATTAAAGCTTAGGTGGTAGAGCTTACACCAGACTCTAAGACAAAAATGATAAAAATGGACTAATGCTAAGATTTGAAGGATCGCAAATTATAGTAAAGGTACAGTGTTCGAATAAAGAAGCTTCATTAAGCATCGAATTCATAGGCGAAATAAGGTTTCTTCTTTATTTCCTACGAGCTGTGGTGCCTCTAATGTTCAAATTTCTTACCACCGAGTCTAATACAAATTAATTTTTCATAACTAAAATTTTTTAATGAAACAAAACCCGAAAGAAAGAGCTACAAATGTAAATATTGTAGTCATCGTGGGACGAGGAAGGGACGAAAGCCGTAGGTATAAGGTATTTTGGAGCCAACAATAACGGATGCAAGAACAGCACTGGGATCAGGTAATTCCAAAAACAAAGAGTTTCGAGATTAATTTAACTAATTCTCAAGGCTGGAATAGTTTGTTATTCATACGTCGTTAAATTGGCATAGTATTCAAAAGAATTTTTGAAAAAAACACCATTAGTTCATAGGTCAAATCGATAGAATAAGTTCAAAAATTTAGATAAAATAAGTGGAACTCTTGTTGATATGGTTGGTTGTTAACAAGGCGTAGACGCGTTTTCTTTAAATAATGACTAAAAAAGATTAACCTGAATTTTTCATTCGCCTAGGCCCAACTGGCGAGTTTTTAATTTAACAGGACTCATTGTCTGCAAAATAATGCATAAACAGACTGGGGAAAAAATTAATTAGCTTGCTAAATATGCTGTACCGAAACCTTTGAAAATGCAAACGCATACTTAATTT